TCATAGATACAGGCGGCACACATAACATCTTACAGCCCCGCATTGCTCACCACTTAAAACTTCCCACTACACTAATTCCCAAATTTTCAATTATGGTTGGTAACGGTTCAAAACTCTCATGTTCCTCCCACAGGTCCCCATTACCCTTCAAAATAACTTATTCCTAATTTAGTTCCATTTACTTCCTATTGAAGGGGCATATGTCTTTCTTGGCATGGAATGGTTGAGAACCCTTGGATCCCTTTTTGCTGATTTTTTAATCCCAAGATCTCTTTCAATTATAACTAGTCTGAAATAACTATCAAAGGTGACCCAAAATACCTTTCATCCCCATCCTTCTACAATCAATTTTGTCACCTACTACACACAGATTCAATTTCCTTCATCCATATACTTCTTTATCAACCCTCCTATGATCCTCAATTACCCACATCACCTACCCATAATTCTACTCTAAGTTCCCTACCACCCTCAATTCCCAGCCAGATTAAAACCATTTTATCATCTTATGAGACAATCTTTAAGCCCCCCCAAGGCATACCCCATCTCGCCCTCATGACCACCATATCCCACTTTTCTCAAACACCCCTCAATCAACGTTAAACCCTACAGTTATCCCCATATAAAAAAAGAGGCTATGACAACTATAATTCAAGACATGCTTCATCAGGGTATTATAAAACCCAACCACCGTCCTTATTCCTCCCATGTGCTTATAGTACGCAAAAAAATGGCTCTTGGCATTTTTGCATTGACTATTGTGCACTAAATGCGATCACAATTTGTGATCTTTTCCCCATCCCAACAATATATGAACTTTTTGATGAATTGGGTGTTGCAACTATTTTTTTCTAAAATTGATCTCCGTTCTGGGTATCACCAGATCCAAATTGCTCCAAAGGATACTCATAAAATAGTTTTTTGTACGTTTGACGAACACTACGAGTTCTTGGTTATGCCTTCTGGCCTTACTAACGCTCATAGTTCTTTTCAATCGGTGATGAATGACTTGCTTCGCCCTTACCTAAGACAGTCTTTTTTAGTTTTTTTAACAATATTTTAATTTACAATTCCTCACTTCCTGAACATGTTGATCACTTAAAGTTGATTTTAGACTTGCTTGTTGCTAACCAATTTTATGCAAAATTATCAAAGTATATTTTTGTTGTCCCTGATGTTGATTATCTAGGTCATATTATCTCAAGTCATGGTGTAACCCCAGATCCAACAAAAATTGAAGCTATCTTAGACTGGCCGTGGCCATGTTCACTCACGTCACTCAGAGGTTTTTTAGGCCTCATCGAATTTTATTACAGATTTGTGCATCATTACGCCTCTCTCGTCGCTCCTCTCACCGACTTATTGCGTTCCACTAAATTTTTATGGAGTACAACTGCTGAGATAACATTTACTACATTGAAAACAAAAATGACAGAAACTTCAGTCTTGTGCTTGCCAGATTTCTCCCAAATCTTCATTCTTGAGACCGGTGTTTTAGTTGTTCCTGTTGGTGTTGTTTTATCCCAACAGGGTCATCCTTCGGCCTTTTTCAGCAAGAAGTTGTGTGACAGATTATAGGCTGCTTCAGTGTACGTCCGAGAAATGTATGCCGTCACCGAATATATGAAGAATAGGCGTCAGTATTTAATAGATAGACATTTTCATATCTATACTGATTAGAAAAGGTTAAAGAATTTGTTGGTCCAAACTATTCAGACATCAGAACAACAAAAATACGCAGCAAAGTTGCAAGGTTTTGATTGAGATTTTTTACAAACCTGGGAAAGCCAACCTAGTTGCAGATGCCATGAGCCGAATCGAATTCGAAGCTGTCCTCTTATCCCTCTCTTCACCAGTTCCCCTGCTATTAAAACAACTGCAAGAATATTACAAGAACGAATCAGAAGGCAAGAACTTTAGTGACAAAGGTCTCTTAGATACATCAATACAGGGAGTATTATAGATAAAATAGGAAATCATTTACTACAAAGACAATATCTACATACCACCAATTACGGAACTTTGTCAGGATATCATCATCAAATATCATTCAACTCCTAGTGCTGGCCATTCTGGTCTGCAACCCACTGTTGCTCGTTTATCAGCATCTTTTCTATGGCCTGGTATTTATACAGATGTGAAAATATTTGTCAAATACTGCACAATCAGTCAACAAAATAAGTACATGACTACAAAGAAACATGGTTTACTTCAACCATTACCAGTACCAAACCTCGTACGGGAAGAAATTTCTATGGACTTCATTACCCACTTACCCTCATCCTTTGGTCACACAACTATCTAGGTTATTTGTGACAGATTGATGAAATTTGTCCACTTTATTACCTTGCCAGAAAAATACTCCGCTCGTGACCTTGACAAACGTTTTTCCGTCGAGATATGTCGCTTGCACGGTGTTCCTCAGTCAATCATTTCTGGTCGAGATCCCTTGTTTCTCAGCAACTTTTGGAAAGAGCTCTTCCGAGTTCAAGGCACCACTTTCAAATTTAGCTCCACGTATTATCCTGAGACCGATGGGCAGACAAAAGGTGTTAATTGGTGTTTAGAGGCATTTTTGTAATGTTTTACAAGTGATCATCCTAATCAGTTGTTTAAATACTTACATTTGGTTGAATACTGGCAAAACACTGTGTATCACTCATCCATCAAGATGACTCCCTTCGCGGCCCTTTATGGAAGACCCCCACCATCAATACGACAGGAAATCATAACCTTGTTAAACAAAACCTGGAACTCAATAGACACAAAATGAAAGTACAAAGTAACAAAAAATGTCTTCCCATTACCTTTGAATCAGGAGATCTGGTTTTGCTCAAGCTTTAACCTTATAGACAAAACACCGTCTATAAATGCACTTCTCAAAAGATGGCCAAAAGATATTTCAGACCCTTCAAGATTCGTCGCCGCATCGGTGTCGTCGCCTATGAACTGAAGCTTCCACCTTCATCCCAGATCCACCACGTCATCCATGTCTCTCAACTCCGGATCTAACATGGAGATGATCCCATAGCCCACTTTACACCCATTGCACTAGAGCTTGATGATTTACATGCAGTTACCACGCATCCTTCATCACCAGATCTGAATGTTCAAAGCACTCAAGAGGGAGGGAAGTATAGAAAACGAAGAGGTTAAGCACACAGAGCAAATGGGTCCAGAGGAAAAAGTTTGTGAAAAGATGAGAGAAGACAAGATGAGAGACTGTGGATCTCAACTCTCAAGTACATCTAACATAACAAGGGTACTTGGTTCACGTGACGCCACTTATGGTTTGTCCACACTGCACAATGCTTTATCAAAAGACACATGTTTACAAGACACACACACAATGATTCAATCTGATTCCACTTGCACCGATATAACGCTCCCCAATGACCAACTGTCTTTCGCTTCCTCCAAAAACCATGTGCTGCCTCCTACTTGTCGCCCAATATTTACTTCCTCCAACCCTAATTCAGTTGGGTTGCACACCACGCAATGGGCCTCATCTTTTGTCCCTCCAAAAGCCAAATTATCCAACAACCTTAAGGACAAAGTTTGCCTTGGGCCGAATAGTATTGTTAATAGACCCAAGCGAATTACAACAAGGCCCAACCAATTTAAGGATTATGTGCCCAAATAAATATAGTTTATTATATTATGTTATGTTTTATTGTTGTCTAGGCCCATTTCGTGCCCTAGGGTTTTATTGATATCTTGTATTTAAACAGCTTTATGCTGTTATTTTGAAGGAGGAAAATTATTCAATCTCTTTCTTTTACATTTTTTATTCATCTTCTTGTTTTATGTTTATCTAATGAATTAAATCTAGATCTGAAAAATAGTTGCTCTAACTAATTTATCACTTAAATTTAGTCATTTTTAGAGGTTACTAATTAAACAAAAAAAGAAGCTTCTTAAATATCAATGACTATCTCCACATCTAGCATGAAGGAGGTTGTGATTGTGCTAGAGGCCAAATAACAAAGTCCTTACAAGCTATATTATGATGAAGAGTTTGATGAATTGTGTTATGGAGGAAGGGAAAAAGATTGTGTCAACTGGTACGCAGGGATCAAATCCCTTAAGAAATGAAATATGATACTTTTGAGTGAGTTGTAATGCCATGACTATGTAGAAACTACATGTTTGTTTCATGAATGAGAGGAGAACCACACCAATCATCCAACCAAAAGTTGATGGAGGTTCCTCTACCAAGAGACCAGTTTGAATGATTCTTCAAGTTACTCATCTCAAATATAACGTAGAAGAGAAAATTCGATATTTTATTGTGCCAAATAATTTGAAAAATCTGTCTTTGGGGATTGATGCAAAAGATTCCCTGTTGACTAAGAGATCCCGGACCATTTTCAAATTAGATGTTTCATTTAGTTTCAAAAGTGATCTCAACCCTAAACCACCATGAGCTTGATGAGTACACATTTTGGCATCACTGGCCAAAAATAATAGTAAATGGTGCAAGTGAGCATTCCTTGAATGATGGATTTGATCAACCGGACTCTGCCTACTGTTGAGAGAGTTGAGCCTTTCCAAACAGCCATTTTAAAAATGACTTTGTCAGCAAAATGTCTCAAATAGAAAATTGGAACTCCTAAGTAAATGAAGGGCAGAGATCCTCTAATTATTAGAACGCTCTCTTAAAAATTGAGAGTTATTTTATTTGATTTAACCTCATTTTAAATAACCAATGAGTTTTTTATGAAAAATCTTCACGACCAACATTAGATGTGAATCATTCACGAAATAATATTTTCTGAGTTATATCTAGGGGAAAAAATGACAAATTTGTTCACATCTAGGAAATTTTAAAAATGATTGAATTTGGCAACTTTTATTTTACTAGTACAAAGTCTATCACAATCTAACAATCTAGTAATCTACAAAATATAAAACTTCTGTATATGTGCATAGGTTGTTCTTCATAACATTCTACAATTTTAGAGACTAAATTGGTGATTCATTAGAATAGATAGTTGCATTTAAAACGACTGAAACATGCATCCAATGGTCCAACCAAGAAGCAAACCTGCACCAGCAAGAGCCAAACCAACAGCGAAAGCGAAAACACATTGTCCGATCCCTCGTCTTCTATCCCTAATCTTTTGTCGATTCTTCCTGTTTTGTTTTCCGGCCCTATAGGAAGAGAGGTTGTCCATCAATGGCTGGTTTTTGTTTTTGGACTGAAGACATAGATTCTCCAGCTGCAAAACATATAGCCATTGCTTGTAAGCAAATAGTTGTGAAGCCTGTTTGAAGAATAGAGACGATATTTGCTCCTTCTCGTTGAAGGCTTCCTGTGCTGCCTTTTCAGCCTCTCTCGCCCGAGTTTGGGATCGACATAAGGCTTTCAGTAGCTCTGCCTTGGCCGTGCTCTCAGTATTCATATGGCTATCTTTGTTGTTGCTCGAATCAGAGTCTTTGCTCTCACTGGAACTGAAAATGTGTATAACAGTTCCATAAAAGTTCTTATGACATAGTAATCAATAAAACTAAGCATAGTGTTCTTAAACAGCATTACCTGTTTGAATCCTGAAATGAATAGCCAGAAGTCACGGTTGTAGACGTACAACCGTTCGCATCAGAAGAACACATCTCCGACAACAACGAAGGAATATCCTCCTTGTCGATATCTCTTTGGGGAACAGTTTGTATTTTTCTTAAAGGCTTAATGTTCAGCTGGAGATCGCAGTTCTCAATATACTCAGGAGATTTCTTCGCAACCAAGTAACCTAAGTCGTCTTTTCCTGTAGTGTGCCACCAAGGCCGAGTTTTTTCAGCTCGCAACCAATGCGGTTCCAAATCCGAAAACCAGAATTCCCCTTCGTTATTCTTCTTAGGTGTCAAATACAAGTCATTGTTCAAATCAGCCGCGACTTTTGTAGTTCTTGTATCATTGGTTTTCTTCATACATTTAGGATACACATTCCATTGCCGCTCTAAACCTATAGTATTAGTAACACTTCCAACACATGAAAGAGAATCAACGTTTTTGACAGATCGATCGACATCAAAAGCATCAAACTTAGACTCCCAGGAATAATTTGCATCACCTCCCAAGTTGGTTTTGACATGTAGCCACCATTTCATGCCAGAATCAGTGGAATCATCACTATGAATAAAATCAGATTCCAATTTTTTCGAAACCGGAGATCGATAATCAGAAGGGGACATCCCGAAATCTTGTGTGAAACAATGATTAACTCCATAACCAGCTCTAGCTTCTGCAGATGCCATTATGAGATGGTTTATGCAGAATCCATCATTTGAATCTGTCAGAAACAAACGAGAAACATTAGATGCAATCTATCCACAAACCTCAAATCTTAACCAAACTTAAACTCGAAATCACTTGTACATAAACAGAACAAGAAATCAAAGTAAACAGTCCAAAATCAGATAATTCAACTTTCATGAATTCTCTTATCAAGAGAAAGAAAAACATGTTCAGCAAAATTTCATGCCCCAAAATTCTAAGAACATGTTAAAGATGTAAAAGGGACAAATATTGAGTAAATAAAAACATGTAACCATAAGATATGAATCAGATCATAAACATAAGCTAGCAAGGTTAGAATTTAGAACATCACAGTGAGTTAGAGATAGAGAGAAAGAGAAAACCTTACTTGATTTCCTTAACTTTCAAGATACCATCAAACTCAAAGGTACTCTATAAACTGGTTGTTAGAAACTTGGACTCTATTATTGACTATATGTGAATTTCTAAGCCAAAAATATCTTTTTTTTCTTCTTTTCTTTCCAATTAGTAGTATCTGTTATTATTCTATTTTGTGTCTTTATGTGACTTAGATGTCACAATTATGAACAAGGTTGAGTTTATCGTTTTGGCAAATGGTTTTGTTTGAAAGGTTCAATGCAATGAATGTTACAGGAAAATGGGGGAAGCAAGCGGTGATGCTACGTGGGACCATATCTTTCTGACACGCTACACCTTGTTCGAGTTTGTTTTGACTAGTAAAAATAATAAATCTTTTCTTTTTGTGTTTTTAAAAAATTTCGTTAAAAAATCATCTTTCTAATGTTTATTATTTATATTTTTGGTCTTTAATATTAGATTTGTTTAATAGAAGGTTATATGACCGTTCTTAATAAATATTTTTTTTTATGTTGGTAGTTTTTGAGGTTGTCGGGATGGATTTATTTGGATGAAAAAAATGTTAAATTGTGGGTTTCAAATCTCCTAAAATAAACTCAGTTAAAAACAAGAACAAACATCTTCATACACCAAGAACACATTTTTAAAAAAATTAGAATATTCATCACTATTCATTCCAAAGTCAGGCCAACATGAATTCCAAACGAAAACTCATCATTGTTCATTTGAAACAAACCTCCTAACTACATCTACATCTATCTTTTCACTACCATGTTGTTTCCTTGCATCGCTATCATCTACAATCGTAAATAACATATACATGTTGATGCACAAAGGTTGAAGATGAAGATATAAATGGAAGGAGCGAGAAAGAAATAATAGCTACAACAAATTTGTTGAGGAAGAAATTGTATATTAAAATCTTTTAACTTTCTTACTAAAACCCCAGTTACAAAGTTGTTTATATACACAAAATAAACTGCCACGTATACACTAACAAAACTTATTGATTATATTAACTACCACATAGACATAATACACTAACAAACAAACTTCCAGAAGCTAAGCGCTGCTTCTGGAACAACAACAACATAAGAAGCTTCTGCTTCTGACTAACACAACACGCTTCTAAGTATGAATTACTTCTAACACCATCCCTTAATTCATATTCATCTAACTAAATTCTATAACACCAATTCCATCCCTCAGACGGATAAAGTGTTCAGTCTTGACAGTCTTCGTCAGAACATCTGCAAATTGCTTCTGGATGATACAGTGTGCAACTTTGAACACTCCATTTTGGACTTGACTTCTCATAAAGTGGAACTTCATGTCAATGTGCTTGCTTCTCCCATGCAACACCGGATTCTTGGCAAGCTTATAGCTGATTTGTTGTCAATTATCAACTTCACAGGTTTGCTTACCTTGATCTTCAGATTCTACAACAAATTCATCAACCAAACAGCTTGACACACAGTCAAAGCACCTACAATATATTCAACTTCACAAGTTGACAACACAACCACCGGTTGCTTCTTGGAGCACCAAAAAATGAGACTTCTCAGATATTTGAAAAAATATCCAAAAGTACATCTTCTATCAACTTTGTCTTCATACCAATCAGAGTATGAATAGCATATCAGCTCTGCATCTGATTTAATACCAAAGGGAACAACACTTCATACCTCAGAGTCCCTTTAACGTACCTCAGAATCTTGACAACAACTTGGTAATGCGACCACTTCAATTTGTTCATAAACCTACTCATAATTTCAACCGCATAATAAATGTCAGGTATGGTATTACACAGATACCTTAATGAGTCAACCAACTATTTGAAAGTTGTAGCATTTACTTCATCATCCTCAATATCAAAATCCAACTTGTGATTCGTCTCAGCAGGTGTGATTACAGTCTTACAAGTTGTTAGCTCAAACCTCTTCAGAAGTTCAAATTCATACTTCGGCTGATGCAAAATGATATCCTTCTTAGAATACAAAATATCCATTCCTAGAAAGTATACCCGCTTTCCTAGGCCAGTCATCTCAAACTCATTCATCAGAATTTCTTGAACTTGACTACTTCTTCTGAATAGCTCCCTATTAGAAATATATCATCAACATAGAGACACACCAGAATCATATTGCCTCTAAAAGCATGTTGAACATAAACGTCATACTTCATCTCACACTTCTGAAATCCCTACTTCTTGAAAAATGAATCAATATTCAAGTTTCAAGCTATGGGAGCTTGCTTCAATCTATACAAGGCTTTGTGTAACTTGTAAACCACCCCTTCCTAATTCTATTTCACAAATCCACGAGGTTGTGATATGTATACCTCTTCTTATAACAGACCGTTTATAAATGCAGATTTCACATCCAGATGCACCAAAGGCCAATTTTTATCAACGGTTATTGCAATCACCAATCTGATTTTTTTCATGTCTAGCTACAGAAGCAAACACCTCAAAGTAATCTAGCCCAAATTTCTGAAGAAATCCTCTAGCCACTAGCCTTTCTTTGTTCTTGCCAATTGATCCACCTGGCTTTAACTTCACCTTGAAAATCCATCTGACGTTGATGGTTTTATTCTTCTTTGGAAGCTCAATCAAATCCCAAGTTTTATTTCTTTCTATAGCCTCAAGTTTTTCTTCCATGGCCTTTAGCCACACTTTCTTCTTAAGAGCTTCTTCAATACCCACCATTTTAGAATCTACTAGCATGGCACATTAAATGACTTCTCTCTCAAAGTCTACTTCAGTATCTTGCAACATGTCAAATTCTACAAACCTTTTTGGTATTTGTCTGATTCTTCATGCTCTCCGAACACGTTATGAATCTTCTATAGAACCTGGAATTGTGTTAGCTTTTGGGCCTCCTCCAGAACCATTATCTTCAAAAATACCACCTTTAGTAGCATGATCACCTCCAGAAGCTTGTCTTCTAGAACTTATGTCTTCAGAGTTTTCCCTTCCAGAAGCATGATTACCACCACATTCTGGATCATTGTCAAAATCTGGATCAAAATCAGATTCACCATCTGACTCATCTTCAGAGTCTCTAAAATCATCTTCTGACTCTGACTCTTCTTTAGAACTTTCAAGTTCTGACTCATCTTCATAACCTTCTGAAGTATCTTCATAAGCTAATTCAGGTATTGACAGTACACCAGAATTTGATTGATACTTTCTCCAATCACAAGCTTCTAACTCTTTTACAATGATGTCTCTACTGACTTCCACCTTATTAGAGTCTGGACAATAAAGCTTATATGCACTTGTACAATAGTACCCCACCAGTAACATTACTTTGCTTCTATCATCCAAATTCTTTCTCTTAGCATCTGAAACATGTTTATAGAAAACATAACCAAATACCATGAGATGACTCACACTTTGATTATCTATAGTCCATTCCTCTAAAGTTACAATTTCCTTCAGCTTCTTTGTTGGAGACCTGTTGAGCACATACGCTGAAGTGGCAACAACTTATCCCCATAAGGTATGATGCAACTTCTTATCTTTTAGCATGCTCCTAGACATATCAACCAAAGTTTCATTTCTTATTTCAACAAGACCATTGTTTTGAGGAGTGTATGGAGCAGTAACCTCGTGTTCTATTCCATTCTCCTCACATAACTTCTGGAACTCTGTAGAGTTATACTCACCTTCGCCATTCGTTCTGAGAGCTTTCAACTTATGACCACTTTGTTTCTCAACCTTCACCTTGAACTTCTGAAACTCGATAAACACCTCATTCTTACACTTAATGAGTGTTACCCATGCCATTCTTGTGAAATCACCCACAAACGACATAAAATACTTGTTTCCTCCATGTGATTGTTTTGTAAATGGTCCACATACATCAAAGTGAACTACTCCCAAAGCATGCTATGCTCTTGGGGATACTTTTGACATAAATGTCAATCTAGGTTGCTTGTCTTTCATGCATACCTCACATGACTTCTCAGGCTTCACAATCTTCAGAATGCCATGCACGAGCTTCTTAGAACTCAAATGCCCTAATATTATGTAGTTCAGATGCCCCGATATCTTGTGCCACAACTTACTATCACATTTAATGCCTTCTGCACTAAGGCACTCTATTTCAGTTGTCTCCATATTCACTTTGAATGTTCTGTTGTTTCCCTTCTTAGACTGCATAATCAACTTCTGATTGGAATCATACAACTTCTAGGGAGTTTTCTTTATAGTAATTGAGAAACCTTTTTCAATGAGATAACCCATACTCATTAGATTTCTCTTCATTCCAGGAACATACCAAACATCTTTGATCAGAAAAGTTCTTCCATTCTTCAATCTAACTTTGGCACTTCTCATACCTTCTACATTAAGGTACTTATCATTAGCATATCTGATCTCTGTTCTCTTTCTAGAGTCAAAATCAACCAGCCATTGGTTGTTTCCATTTAGGTGATTTGAGTAACCAGTGTACATATACCATCAGTCTACCAAACACCTTCCATCAGACTCAGAAGCCATCAATAGCACAAGTTCATCATCAGAATCTCTTCTTTCTATATTTTCTTCTTCTGATTTCCTTCCCTTTTTTGACCAACAATCTTTAGCAAAGTGGCCAAACTTCTTACAGCAGTAACA